TGTCACACCTCCTTTTTACACACCCGAAGGTATATAAGGGAGTTTTTCCAATTTAAGTGACATTATTCGAAATGAGATTAATTATTCAATTCAGAGTCGCCACTTGGGATAGTTTATTTGGTGTCCCAAGTCACCGATTTATTTTAAATCCCAAATCGAGGAAATTTCGACTTTCCTTTTGAAGTCTGCGAACCAGAAATTCTGAGTAGGGAATTCTGTTAACCCGGGAGAAGGTGTTAGGCATTCCCGGATTCCGTGGTTCTAGCACGGTCGCTTAAACTATTACAATTGGCCTATTATCTGATTTTTAAAACATGTTTCAACCTATGGTATATCGTTAACTTATTAGCCGTTTTTAATTAATTTTTTTTTTGGAAAAATTCAACGTCATATAAAACACGTATTGAACCACGTCACATGAAATGCACCCGCGGTCCACGACACATTTTATCTAACGTTGTTGAGATTTGAATTTGGGTCACATAAAATGCACACCCGAGTTTATGAAATTATTTATTTTAAAAAAAAAAATAGCGCGCCTAAAGCAACTACGCACTTTCAAGTTTGCGAGGGGCATGGAAAGTTCAACTAAATGGTACGCCTCGATTTCTAAGGATTAAAATTAATTAAATGAGGGCCATGAGTTTTGAGATTTTATTTGGCATGGCGCGCCTCGATTATTCTAAAAGGATTGTATTCAATTTAAAGTAAACTACAAATATTCATGATTATGTTTCTTCCTAAAACTACTTTGAGATTATTGCAAGGTCATGATTTATGAATATGGAATTATTATTGAAGAAATATATGATTTGAGTTATTATGGACCTAATCACCCATGTCGGTATCAAATTTGCTATTGACTTAACATCCTTTAATTTGGATCCAAGCTATTACATCGTTCTCTCTCCATTTTGAATACATTTTCCTATCTTTCCCTATGAACTACAATCTCATTGAAGAAACTCATTCTGTCTTTCACGAATTCTATTTCTTGATGCTCTTCCTTTATTTTTTTTGTTCATATCTTTCAAGTTGGTAGATAACCAAAATATAATATACAAATCAAAAGGAAATACGGTGAAAGAAAAATAATGGAAACATTGGTTAAGAAAATAATGAACCTTTTATAGATGAAGATCTTATTCAATACATATGGAGCAAACAACCATCAAATTTAATGTGCAAATGAACCACAATCAGAGGCAACGAGCGGAAACCTTTCGAACCGAACTCGACTTCGACCTCTTCGAGCTAGTATTTTGGGCTATCTTTTAAATTGAGTTTGAAGCTTTTGGATTTGATTTTTGGTGTGATTTAGCTCCTGTTTTTGAGGTATTATTTTTTTAAACAAGGTAATGAATGGCTATATGCCTTCTTCTTTTTTATTGAAAGAAATAGGTAGAAAGAATAAAACTAGTAAAAATTCTCTTTAGCATAGAAGAAGAAAATTTGTTTTCTCTCAATATTCTTCCCTCTTCTCTTCTCTTCTTTTCTTCAAATATTTTTCCTCTATTTATAGGAGAATTTTCAAAAAAATTCAAATTTTTATTTTTATTTTTTTATTTAAAAGAAATCCCACTTACATTTTGTTTTTCTTTTTTTATAAAAAGAATTACCACCTTTCTTTACTTTTATTTTTTAATTCCAACTTTAATTACTTTTANCTTTCTTTACTTTTATTTTTAAATTCCAACTTTAATTACTTTTATCTTATTTAAAATCCTACTTTTTTTACTTTTTTAAAAGAGAATTCCACTTCTTTTACTTTTCTTAAAAAACAATTCAGTTTCTTTTACTTTTCTTTAAAAAATTCTACTTTATTTTAATTTAAATTTTTTTTAAATTTTCAGCTACCTTTATATTATTTTTTAATTTCAACTTTCTTTTACTTTTTATTTTTAAAAATTTCCACAAAACTTTACTTTTATTTTTTAAAATTTTCACTTTCTTTTACTTTTTTAAAAGAGAATTCCACCTACTTTTACTTCTTCTTTTTTTAATTTCATACTTCCCTTTTTCTTATTATTTTACATCTCTCCTGAAAATTTTAAAAAAAATAATATTTTTCGGATTTTTTATTATTATTTAAAAATAAGAATAAAAATAAAATAATAGTAATAGTAATAATTCACCTTCTAAAATTTTGTATTTTTAACCTATAATAAAAAGTATAAAAAAACTAAAAATTTGTATGTTAAAACTCCCTAAAATATTTACATAGAAGAAGTGACAAAAAAAATTAAATATTGTCAAAAATTAGGTGCTTACAATACCAGCATAACTAATCACAACATAAGCGAAGACAGATTCAAGATTTAAACTTTATGGGTTCAACCTTTAAGGTTTTTAACATTAAGCTTATTACTATATTTTTAAAATTATGAGTTCATGTCTACTATCTATTGTAATTTTAATAAAGTTTACACATAAATTTATGCAGCGCTTCGAAAGTTATGATAATTCGGACCCGTAACTATAATGGTACATTCGCTGCTGCCTCCAAGCAGGGGTGTAGTTTCATTGAATGGCTAATAGATGATGCAGACATCAGCCATATCATCAGCAGTTTACAAATCTTGTTGATTTGGCACTTCTCCACAAATATGATTACTACACCTTGGGTCAATATTGAATAATCAATATTGCCATTTTAGATCAATAATCAGTGTTGCTCCTTTGGAATATTTTGTATTTCATTTTCTACCAACTACACCTTCATCATATTGATCTTGACGTTGATATGATAGATGTTACCAACAAATTAAATTAAATTAAATTCAAACCAAACAAATTAAATAAGGATGATAGATAGCCACATGATAGATAAAATAGCAATTATCACTCTTTACCAAAAACCAATAATTCAAGCAAAGGCGGACCCCCATTATCCCCTAAATAGCTTTCTAATATCGCTAGTCTATTTCCATCCCTACAAGGCTAACTACCACAAGAAACCATGCCAGATAGTTGAAACGAACAAAATATCTAAAAGGAAGTTTGTCCCTCTTTGTCATAATTAATTAAAATGACAGGTTCGTGCACAAAGTATTTCGCGTTCACGCAGGGTTCGGAGAATCGCAACACTCTAAGGTTGTGTGATGTAAGCAGTCTACCCTGATGCAGGCATCAGTGACTGATTCTATAGCTCAAACCCGTCACTTATAGGTCACACAGAGAAGGTCATACCGAGATAACTTGACCAATGCTCCGAGGCTCCCCTTCTTTGTCATAATTAATTGAAGAAAGTATTTACAGCAGGGTGAAACAAGAAAAGCTTTTAAAATGCACATATTAACAGGCAGAAAAACGTATCTATTTGCTGTGCCAAGACAGAGAAGAAAGAAAGCAAAACAAAAAGAAGAGGGAGTGCTTCATTCTTTCTTCTTCTTCTTCTTGGGTTATTGTGAAAATGGGAGCTGAGGTGAGTAAACAGGTGGAAAGACGAAAATCTATTCACACTCAGAAGAAAATCTTGTATGATCTCAAGGAGAAAAATGGATGCAATTTCCCTGGTTGTGATTATCATGTACAAGACAGAAAAAATTGGATGTCAGCACTTATCCCTGAAAAACTCCATGTCAACAAGATTGTTTGGCCAGGTACCTAAAGACGAATTCAAAATTTAAATTTAATTAGTTTAACCTTTAGGTTCTTAGTATGAATTCGTTGCACTTTTGAAAATATTTACTAAAATGTTGATGATTTTCTACATATACATGTCTCCTGTGACCTATAAGTCATGGGTCCGAGCCATAAAATCAGTCACTGATACATGCATCAGTGTAGGCTGCCTACATTATACCCCTTAGGGTATGGCACTTCCCCGACCCCGCATGAATGCGGGATGCTTCGTGCACCGAACTGCCCTTCTACATATATATGTCTGCTCTGTGTCGAAAATACTGAATTCAGTTGAACTCATAATTAAGTGTTCCATCCGCCTATGCAGGTACACATGATTCTGCAACTAACAAGATTGGAATCCCATTCATCTCTCGCCCTTTTGCTCAATGCCAATCTTTGTCCATTTATGAACAACTAGTAATTGGCGCTCGAGTTCTTGACATCCGTGTTCAAGAAGATCGTCGTATATGCCATGGCATCCTTCTTTCCTACAACGTTGACGTCGTTATCAACGACGTCAAGAAGTTTCTGTCTGAAACAGATTCAGAGATAATAATCCTAGAAATTCGTACTGAATTCGGACATGATGATCCCCCGGATTTCGACAAGTACCTGGAGGATGAGCTAGGGGAATTTCTCATCCACCAAGATGACAATGTTTTCAACAAGACAATTGCAGAATTATTGCCAAAGAGAATAATATGTGTTTGGAAACCAAGAAAATCACCTCAGCCAAAACATGGAAGTCCGTTATGGAGTTCAGGTTACCTAAAAGATAACTGGATAGATACTGACTTACCTGAAACGAAGTTTGAGAGCAACATGAAGCATTTGAGTGAGCAGCCACCTGTAACATCTCGGAAATTCTTTTACAGGGTGGAGAATACGGTCACGCCACAGGCTGATAATCCAGTTCTGTGTGTGAAACCGGTGACAGATCGGATTCATCCATATGCAAGACTGTTTGTAATGGAATGTATCTCTCGAGGTTATGGTGATCGGTTGCAGATATTTTCATCAGACTTTATTGATGAAGATTTTGTGGATGCATGCATTGGTCTTACAAATGCAAGGATTGAAGGGAAGTTCTGAATCTGAATGAATGTTTATAGGCAAATAGTAAATATGTATGTGTTTCAGACATTTACTTATATGTATATAGTTTGAGTAGCAGGTAGGAGTACAGCCCTACTTGCCGAAGATGGATTATTCTCTAGTCTGTATATAGGTCTTGTATGGTCCAACTTGTTTGAAATCGAGATGTAATTGTTGTTGTTGTGATTGGTTTTCTGTGGTAAGATTGTTTTTTTTTTTAGGAATTGAGTATGCAAGAACATGATATATGAGAAGAAAAACATTCTTAGCTGTTATTGGGTATTAGCTGTTATTCCCAATGTGGAAATTTGCCATGTTCTTTTGTCCCTCCGGTTAAAACAGTTCAGTATCTCAAAAATATAGTCTCTTGTTTATAATACATCCCCCATTTTCTTCATCAAACAGAAACTTGTTTTGTGCAACAAATATTAAGCAACTGCAAGGTAAAAAATGGCAGCCCGATGCATAAAGAATCATGTATTCACACAGGGTCCGAGAAAGGGTCGCACCAATAGCGGCGTGATATAGACATGTTGGATAATTGACATGTTGGATGTGAATGACTTTGTTGAACAACCAACCAAAAGCTTTCATTATGAATCCAGGAAAGAAAAAAAAAAAGAACATTGAATATTAGTACGAGCTTCTATCCAATGGTTCTGAAGGGAAGCCTGGTATAACATGTGAAGTTGCTGCCATGTGACCAAGAGGTCACGGATTCGAACCGTAGAGACAATCTCTTGCAGAAATGCAGGATAAGACTGCGTACAATTGACCCTTGTGGTCCGGTCTTTCCCGGTTACATTGAATAAAAAGAGCAGCCCTGATGAATATCTTAGGATTCCTCCTAGAGACAATCCTAGAGCATGAAGGTTCAAGTTATGGTGGCTTGGGCTATATCAGAATTGGCTTTACATTATCCCAAATGTCAAGATCAATTTGCCCAAACTACTACTATTTAGCTCCAACACTGCTAGCAAAAACAGTGACGTCGGCCGTAGGTGGTGAGTTTGAAGATGAAGAGAACAAAATACAGAGTAAAGTGGAGTGTATATAAGATTACGCTTGCTGTAGAGGCAAACCACTAACCTGGTGTAATGGACAGAACATTTCGTGCGTTGTTGTATAGTTGTGCTTTTACAGTTTACTCGCTATTTAGCAAGATAACATTTCATCAGTTCTAGACTTGTATAGTACTTGTTCCTTCCCTTCATATGTTAGTAGGGGAGGAGAGCTGTTAGAAGCCTCTTTTTCAAGTTCCATGGCTCTTATTTGTCAACCATCATTAATATAAATGATTTGATTTGTCAAATGTTATTATAACATTATGCATTATGAAACATACATAACAAAAATTCATACTACATGTTCCCTAGTTTAGGTGGTTCTATGAAGTCAATGTACCTGATAGAACTGGACAAAAGATCCAGATGAAAAAGCAAGCTGACGGGAAAAGAACATGGTGGAGCCGAATCACGACGAAATAACAGACTAATAGACAGAATTGCAATCCGACAAATTTTAATTGCTTGCTTCGCGCATTCTTTTCAATCCTATCAAACCAAAAACAGAGTAAATTGCTTCAAGTATTCTTACCACCTCCAGTAGGTGCAGTGGAAAAAAATGTAGAAGTACCAAAACTTAACAAACAAGAGATAGCTTAACGAGTAGAATCTACTGTTAAATTGGATTTAACATATACATCTGCAGGTTTGCTTGCATGTAAAAAAACATCAATCCGCACACATTTCGGCAGGTGCTCTTGGATTGTTTAGAAATTAGAGCGACATCTAAAGAAAATTGGAGCAGTTATAAAACAAGAGCAAGAAATATCATTCTTTGACCAACACCAGCATACATTTGAAGCACGCGAAGCAAATTTTGGACCCTCACTAAATTTGGTAAAAACTTTTACACTAAATTTGGCTATTTGCCAAGTTACAAACCATGATTGACAACCAATCAAGCCTCCATCCAAGGCTAGTCAAAGTTACTAATCATGAGTCATGTCTAGCATAGACACGTCGGATATAACATAAATTCTTAATATTACTCACTAATTTACCCAGAACTATTGATAATCAACCAATCAAACCAAAATCTCAAACAAGTAAAAGTCTAATGTATGATCTTTAATTATCAAATTCTCTTATCAAAGTCCATTCCATACTAAAACAAAATAATTTGCCTGTCTAAAACTCAACCTTTAAAGCAGGGTGTTCGCAAATCACAACCACCGTTCCACAACCCAACATCAGTAGGGGATACATCACACATCCTTCTCATTACACTTAATTAGACGCCCACATACATGGTCCTATGACACTTGCGAAGACCTGTGTTTATGGTAAACAGTCGCCCGGGCATGGACATTGCGACCCCCGAAGTTACAGGGCTATTTTGCTGAGTTCCTTAGCGAGAGTTGTCTCGCGCCCCTGCATACTCTTCTCTACCTAAACCAAACTAAACCATTCATATCAACTGTTGATGTAGTCAAATTTAGACTCATTCACAGAACTGGTCAATTACCAGCAACCAATTACATACTGCTAAGATGAAAAGAAATTATCACAAGCATTAAATAGAAGCTCATTTGCATCCATAACCGTATATTAAGAACAAAAAAATAAAAGCAACAGATGTAAAATGCAAATGGAAGTGCAATAAAAGCTAGCAGCTGATAATTGATCAATCTTTCAAACATGTATGTATATACATGTACAGAAAGCGCACATTTCCAAAAGCTTCAAGCTGAAACACTAGTCCATAATCACCAATACTAATCCTAATACGCAATAATAAAGCAGGAAACCATAACCATATCCTAATCATACTTCAAGAAACTAAAAGGTGACCATATGCAATACGATCATTCAAAAAAAACATTAAATGGTTCATCCCTTTTCATACTTCAAAATGACATTAACCAAAAAGAAAGCACTAGAAAGCATAGAAAAAAGAGTGCAAAATGTGAATATACACATTTACCCTCTCAGTTCTACAGAGCTTCAACGACCACTGCTGTTAGGGCATTCACGTGCAAAATGTCCTTCTTCCCCGCACTTGAAACAGCCACCACCACCTCCTCCGCCACTACCACCATATCTCCCACCTCCACCACCATATCCACCGCCGCCGCTGCCATATCCGCCGCCTCCACTATCATAACCGCCGCCGCCGCCGCCCTGAGNGTAGCCACTATCACCCCCACCATATCTACCGCCTCCACCGCCTCCGTATCCACCACCACCGCCATATCGACCTCCGCCGCCGCCTCCACCGCTTCCGCCACGGCCACCACCTTGAACAGACGCGCCATCCGGTCCAGTAACATTAACAGCCTTAGTACGGCCATCATCACCAGACTCAACTTCAAACTCAACGACCTCACCTTCAGCTAAGCTACGAAAGCCTTCAGATCTGATACCAGATTGGTGAACAAACAGATCTTCACCGCCATCATCTGGAGTGATGAAACCGAAACCCTTTTGATCATTGAACCATTTCACAGATCCCTTGATCCTCCTTCCCTGGTCACTCTCCGACGCCATAGTAGCACAGAACCAAACCCTAGCGAAACCCTAGAGACTTTTTTGAGAGCTTTGATCTCTTGGTATTTTCACCAGTAGTGTGGGCTTTTTTATGTTGCGGTGGCGGAATTATATTGTGTTGAGAGTGCCACGTTTTTTGGGGAGAGGGTGGTGGGCCCATTGAACCGGATCATTTTATCCGAATCCATTTTGTGTATTAAATTAATGTGTTTTTCATTAAATAAATAATATTCCTTTCATTTCATACTGTGTTTGTGTTTGACTTGTTAACACCACAATACCAAAACTTTAGGGGTGGATGTTCTAGTAGCTCGAATTGAATATAAAGATTTGGATTTGGATTTGGATTTGGATTTTGAGATTGAAGAAATGACAATCCAAGTATAATCAAAATAATTTTGGAGATCGGGTTTTTTAAGTTCAGTTTTAGATTAATCGGTTTGAATATTTTGAATATTTTTATTTTGAGACAATAAGTTGAGTAGTATTTTCTTCTTATAAAAATGAATATTCAAATGAAGTATTTATGTTAAATTGCTTAAAAAGTTCCTCATTTTCACATTTGGAATATCCAAATAAAGTATTCATCCAAATAATTAACAATTAAATTCGAAATTTAATCTGTAATACGAAAATCCAAACCAAAGTCTAAAAGTTTTGGATTTCGAATTTGCCTAAATTGTATCCATCCCTAAAAACTACAGTAAGATTCTGTCATGTTAAATATTCTATTATAACTATGTGAGTCCTATAATATTTCATTAGGGATAAAATGAGATCTTAAAGCTGAAATATTATTACACATTAAAAAATTTATCATTTCCTTGAAAGACTGGGGAAAAAAAGAATATCATCTGAAATAAAACAGAAGGAAGTAATGTTATACATTTGGTTTCCAAGCCATTTAATTTACGGTTTTAAAAAGGCATGAATATTAGTATGAATTGTTTGTGCGATGAACCATACGCGGAAATCATTACATGCAATATGCATAGCGAGAGTGACTACAATACAAATACTTGCACCGACATTTACTTTAAATTAAATATTTTAACTTTAACAAATCATAAAAATTAAATACGAATATAAATTAATTAAATATGATTAAGTGATTAATTTGTGGCTAAAAAATATATGCATTGTACTCTTTAATTTGATGTAATTCATTGATTTAGAAAAAACTTACGATAAAGTTCCAAGGAAGGTCCTATGGAGATGTCGGGAGGTTAGTGGTGTTCTAGTAGCGTACATTATGGTGATTACGGATATATATGATGGAACGAAGACTCCGGTGAGGACTGTGGGAAGAGACTCGAACTATTTTCCTGTCATGATGGGTTACATCAGGGTTCAACTTTTAGCCCATTTTCATTTCCCCTGGCGATGGATATGCTGATGTGCCACATTCAGGGGGAGGTGTCATGGTGTATGTGTTTACCTCGAAAATGGTAATTATAATTAGATTTGATTTTGTGGTTCTAAAATACTTGATTTATTTTTATGCTGGTTGTTAGGCAGTAAATGCTAAGTGTGGATTAGAAAATAAGATAAGAGCTTGAAAAATAGTATGCTATGCAAACCGAGTGGCCGAGAGTTGGGGTCTCGAGCTAGACTATACGGGGCCTCGGGGTCGAGCTAGGCGTTAGGCAGTGGGCGGCCGATGAAGAACTAACAGTTCTAAGAGCTTTAATGAGGGGTCTTTATGATCAATGATGAATAGTAAATGAAGAACAATAAATGAAAACGCAATAAATGTAAGTAATAAATCTGAAGAAAGACAATAGAGAGTGTTTAAGTTAGAGAGCAGAGAATGTTCTTGTTCTTGTATTGAATATCATGTGTGCAAAAAATAATAATGGTCCCCTTTATATAGGAGGGGGAATCCCAACACAGTACATATGCATTTATTACAAAGAAATGCGGCTGGTATAGCCAATTAATGCCGCGGTACGGGCTTGCACTAGCCTAATAGGCTTGGTCAGCTTTAATCACGTGCCTTGGGAATCTCTCACTCATTCACCATAGTTGCTGATCTGCTCTGCCCTGAGGTCGATCATAGGGAACCCTCGGGGTCGGGCTTCAAACTGTGCCTCAAGCCTTCTGAAGACGGGCTATAGGATGTCATAATGATCATGAAATTGGGCTCTCAGATTTTAGTCGTATACAGATAGTCCCCGCGTTTCTTAGAATGGAATGATATGAAACAACTTTGACATCAATCTCCCCAAGTTTCTCACAATGACGTCATGCTTATGACGCAAGCTTTTGTGATAACTGAGACGTCCCATCGGTTCATCTTTCCAGAAGTATTCAATGCACCGCCGATTTATTTTCCCAAAAGTGATGATATTGTCGCCGATCCGTTTTCCAAAAAAGCATCAATTTCGCCTGTCGATACGTTTCATAAAGGTGTTGATTGCGTCGTCGATTACGTTGTTGCCTTTCTATAAATTGAAGGTTACTTGAACCAAATTTCCACCCAGCCATTCTTCAACAGCCTTTAACCCTTTTCTTCTTTTCATCCTCATCCAAACTCTAACTTCCATGGTTCAAGCCCATGACCGTAAGGTCACACGGAAGCGGTTTATGCCATGGCTCTTCTTCAAGCTTTTCCCCACTGAGTGAGATCGTACTGGTTTGTTGTTGTTGTTATTGTTGGCCCAAAATAATGAGAGAGGGGCTTTGAGTTATCCTCGTATTAGGGGATATGTGGACCATGAATTGCTGCTCATCTCTCTTAACTTCAACCTGGTGTGGCGCTTCATTCCTTTTGCTTTCCATGGAGTGAGGTGGTGTCATCTACTAACTTTTGCATCCCACACCAGTACAATGTCTCAAGAAGTGGCTTCCTAATAGTAGTGCTAGCGAGACCCATACTCGCCAAATTTTTCACCAAGCCACAAATTTTCCTGCCTGTTAAAAGCTTTTGCTCTTTGATAGGCTACAACCTCTTCCTCATCTTTTTCTGTTTCGAAGGAGATTCTCGAAGACGTCTTTTGGAAGATCGAAATGGGGTCCTCGAGGAAATGGTTCTCGCAGATGTCGCTCCCCAGGTTGTACCTCTGAAAGTAGACTAGGTTCTTAGACTGTTGTTTTCTGCTTCTTTATTTCTATGTAAGGACCCTTCGTGAGCTTTTGTAATCGTCTTCTATCAATATAAAAGCTGCTTTGATTTGCCTTTGGCTTGTGTTGAACGTTATTTTGCTTTTGATTGGCCCGAACACTGGAACCGAACATCGTAATCCCTCTGGTTCTTGATTAGTTAATATGATATTTCTTGAGATTCTTTGTCACCCCTCGAACTAAGTTTGGATTGATCTGGTACATACTTAGGCCGCCGGGACTTCTGAGTTCGAGTTGAGCGAGAGTAGGATCCCGATTTTCTTTGGAATAAGGGTTAGCCCTTTTAGGCCTTGCCATTAATCCTCGAGTGAGAGTTTGATCGATCATCTGAAAATAAAGATAGCCCTTAGATTTTCACAAACAGTCCCTGAGTGAGAGACTGCTTAAACTTTGGCAGCCTTGAAAACTCGATTTGAACTTAAAATGAAGATAGCCCTAAGGCATTATAGATTGTCCCTGAGCGAGGATACACTCGAACTTGGATGTCCCCTGGGCCAAAGTAACCGAGAGAGCGTTTAAATTGACCGGAAGGCGAAAATGGCCCTGAGGCTTTATTAATAATTTTCGAGTGAGACTTGGCTCGGGCTCAGGTAGCCCGAGGGCCAAAGAATCGGGTGAATGACCCGCACTTGCAATAGCATAGATCCTCGAGATAGGGTACCATCTCGAGGTTAGGTTTATATGGATAGTTTTTCAGAACTTATAGTCATAGTAATAGGGATCCTCAAAATCGGGCACCATCTCGAGGCTAGATTGGTATAGATGGCTCCTTAAAGCTCATAGTTATGGTTGCAGAGGTCCTCGAGATCAGGCACCATCTCGAGGCTAGGTTGATATGGGAATTTTTGACCCCTCGAACGTTGTATGACAGCGTCATTTGTGTGGCGTGGTCATGAATCGACCGAGATGGACCCGCTGGTACACTTCCCCAAAAGTGATAATGGCCTAGTTAGAATTAATTGGCCTTAAAAGTAGGCGGACAGTCGCTGCTTGCTCTATATATGAGTTTGCTCTCCCCTTTTTGAGGATTCCGCTATTTTGAGCGGCTACCCCTTTCATAGAGTTCTCTTTCCTTGTGCTAGCCCTTCATCATTTTAATTCAAAACTTTCGCCTAAGTTTTCATTTCCTTCTCTTATTTCACCATAGTTATGGCTGCTATGCCAAAACCTGCTCATGAAGAAGAAGAGAGTTCCGCCTCTATTTCCCGCTCGGTCGGTGTTACACCACCGACATTCGGCGAGCTAACCTCGAGATATTTTGTACGAAGGAAGGATCTTTCGTTAGAGCGACCTCTCAATGTTTTAGGCCATTGGGAGAGTGCATCGAGGTTCACTTCATCAATAGGAGAGGGACACCTCGAGGCAGTGAGGAGAGACTGCGATGAGGAAAGGTGGTGTTGCATGTACCTTCCCCGGAAGAGAACATCATGGCTCATGTAGAGGGGTTTTGGAACGTGTACACATACCCCTTCACGTTGGGACCTCTCGATAGAGTCGTGCTTGGATTTTGTCGAAGATATCGGGCTACCCTGGCACAGGTTCACCCGTCGTTCTGGAGGATAGTATTGATGATGAGGTTCTTTGTGGAGAAAGCCGGGCTTGAGTTCACCTTTAGCCATCTCATTAGATTGTACCGACCCTTTCATTACCGAGGCCTAATAGCTTTTTGATGTCGATCCACCAGGCCCTTTGTTGTCGATGATGAAGAAAATGGGGACTGAGGGTGGATGAATAGATTTGTCCGAGTGCGGACTATCGATATTATCCCCGTGGAGTTCCTACTATTTCCTAAGGAATGGAATTTCACACGTAAGTGGTACACTTGTGTTTTTATTGTTTTGTTCATGGTAGAGGCAAACTCCATAAAAGATGTCTTCCTTTCCTTCTCTGCAGCGATCCCATGGTTGCCATACGATGTCCCCGACCTGGCGGATTGGACTCGGAAACTAGAAGCTTGCTCAACTTATGATG